CTCCATCATCTTTGTAGCCCTACGCTGGACAAATGATGGGAGAATTATGATATTATTAGATCTGCATATCTATAGACCTAGCTGTATCTATACATATTTAATTAGTGTTTTATAAATTTTAAACATTTTATTCTCAAAGCTTGGACCGAATGCTTTCTTGGTGTAAATGAGGATCGCAGCATTCATGGGGAACTGCTGCTTTTCACCAGAGCACGTGTGATCTCCTGTGCTGTCCAGTTTGTTGGAAGCAGACATAGGCAGCAAGGAGACTGTCCATTGAAGAGCAGCTGGAATAGTCAGAAACACAGCAATGCTTCTCATGAACAAAGAGCAGGACTGTTGGTTAAGGAAAGGAGCATGATGGAGGTGTAGAGGTGAGGTCTCTTGTGTTTAAAGAACACAACGTGAATGACCATTGTACTTCAGGCACTGGGGGAGCGAAAAGCAGAAGGATCTGTTCACAAGTAACAAGGAGACAGTACTTTTGGTCAGGAAAAGGAACGATAAATATCAAGGGGAGAAATTTGTAGGCACAGCTTGGTGTCTCTGAGCAGAGGAATTACTGGCTATTAGAGGATATTTGGATTGTGATGAATGCCCACTTTACTGCTGCAGTATTTAGAAATAAGTCCATCTGTCAGATGGGCACAGCTTTGGCCTGTGGCAGTCAGCCTGTACCACAGAACCAGCAGGCAGTGGGTAATACTCATCACAAGTTTTTTTCAAGGATGGAAGAGAAACAGGGGCCTCTGTAATAGCGAGGATCTTACTGAAGGAAAGCACTTCAGACCGGGTGGTGTGGTCCATCTCTCGGCATTTCACACCAGATTCATCCCCCCTAGTTGTGAAGCACGTAGTTGGAATTGTGTAAGTGGGAACAGTGTTGGAAAGAAAAGGCAGGACTGAAACAAAAACCGCAGTGGCAGGAAAGTTTTCTTTTGTCTTGTTCCTCAGGAGCTTGTGCTGCTTATTATGAACCCCTGCTCTGCCCTGGTGAGACCACATCTGGAATATTGTGTCCAGTTCTGGGCCCCTCAGGTCAAGAAGGACAGGAACTGCTTGAAAGAGTCCAGCAGAGCCACAAAGATGATGGAGGGAGTGGAGCATCTCCCTTCTGAGGAGCGGCTGAGGGAGCTGGGGCTCTACCTTGGAGCAGAGGAGACTGAGGGGTGACTTCATTCATGTTTACAAATTGGTAAAGGGCGAGTGTCACGAGGAAGGAGCCAGGCTCTGCTCTGGGATGTCCAATGCCAGGACAAGGGGCAGTGGTCCCAAGCTGGAGCACAGGAGGTTCCATGTGAACGTGAGGAAAAACTTTTTTACTGTGAGGGTGCCAGAGCATGGCCCAGGCTGCCCAGAGAGGTTGTGGAGTCTCCTTCTCTGCAGACATTCAAAACC